TGGCAGAGGAAGCAACTTTTTGTTACAGTTGGAATAACTGGCCCCCAAATTTAACACAGAAGTTAAACCCCGGGGCCAGCGCTGTGTCATAATAGGTAAAACTGCCACCTGCAACACTGGCATCCCATACGAATACTGGGTTCGAGTCCTGGCTGCTCTACTTCTAATCCAGCTCCCTGCTAATGCACCTGGGAAAAGCAATGGAAGATGGTCCCATGCTGGTAGGGAAACTTCCTGGTAAGGAGCCAAACCCCAGGGTGGAAGGTGGGAGGGTCTTGTCCCTTCCTGAGCTGGGGTCCTGTGGCCACAGCTGTGTGCAGAGAGCCTAGTGTCTGGCGGAGGACAACACACACGCTGTCCCATCATCTCCCCACAGGGCCACAACCACCTCCTGCTCTCCTTGGTGACCAGAGAGTCCTGATGGCCACAGACCCACATGGCAGCTTTCCCTGTGGTCTTCCAGAACATACAGAAAAGGATAGTCCAAGGAGCTCCTCAGACCCTTAATCTCGATTTGCAAGCTGATTTTTAATTAATTTATTTATTTTGAAAGGCAGGGTGACAGAGAGAGAGAGAGAGAGAGAGAGAGAGAGACCTTCCAAATGCTGGTTCACTCCCCAAATGATTACAACAGCCAGGGCTGCGCCAAGCCAAAATCAGGAGCCAGGAGCTCCATCCGGGTCTCCCACCTGGGTGCAGGGGTCCAAGCACTTGGACCATCCTCTGCTGCTTTCCCAGGTGCATTTGCAGGGAGCTGGGCTCGAAGTGGAGCAACCAAATTGCACCAGCACTCTGATACAGAATACCAACATCACAAATAGCAGCTTAACCTGCTGTGCCACAACACCTGCCCTGTTCTTTTTTTTTTTTCTTTTTTTATTTGAGAAGCAGAGAGACAGACAGAGCTCCCATCCACTGGCTCACTCCCCCAAATGCCCACCATGGCCAGCAACTGAGCCAGTCCAAAGCCAAGGAGCCAGCAGCTCCATCCAGGTGTGCGACACACATGCATCGGCAAGGGATGGATTGGCAGTGGCCCCTCGGCCCTTCCTGCCTGGCTGACATGGGGGCCACATGGGCCACCTACTCTGCAACGCATCCCTGATCAGGGTGTGCCTGACCGGTCCTGCCAGGTGAGAGACAGTACAAGGGCTCATTGTGAGTGACACCAAGCCCTGGCCACCACCTGTGACACTCCAGGGCCCAGGTGGCTCTGCTAGGTGACTCCACGCGGGAGGAATGCCAGGACTAAGCAGAAATCCCCCCCGACAATTTTCACCCAATGGCACCTGTCGTGGGCTCCACCTGAGTCACTCCTGGTTGTGGTGGCAGCCAGGTGCCGATTTCCCAACCCTCCCTTTCTTCTCCCTTCGACAGCTGGTATTTGGCCGTAACACCATGGCCAGCAGGCTCCTTGTCCTGTTAACTTATGCACATTGCCTGTACCAGGCTGTGGGGGTTTCCTTTACTCAGCGATTTCTCATTTGCTTCTGCCATTGCTCATTCTGATGCCAGCAAACTGGCTCCAGGGGGGTCCCCACCATTCTGGGGGCTCTGCCTTGCATGCTGGTGCTACAAGATGCTGCAGGTCCAGCTTGCAACTTTTTTTTTTCACAAAGATTCCTTTATTTATTTGAAAGGCAGAATTACACACAGAGAGAGATCATCTATCCATTGGTTCACTTTCCAGATGGCTGCAACAGCCAGGGCTGGGCCAGGCTGAAGCCAGGAGCCTAGAACTCCATCCAGGTCTCCTATGTGGTTGGCAGGGGACGAAGCCCTTGAGCCATCCTCTGCTGCTTTCCCAGGCACATTAGCAGGGAGCTGGATTGGAAGTGGAGCAGCCCGGACACAAACCAGCACCAGTAGCTGGTGGTGGCTTAACCTGCTACACCACAGTGCCAGCCCCTCTTTTTTAATCAATTTGTATTCACTTGCAAGACAGACAGATGAGGGCAGAGAGAGAGAGCGAGATCACCCATTCACTGGTTCACTCCCTAAATACCCACAGCAGCCAGGGTTGGGCCAGAGAGAAGCTAGGAATTTGGAACTCATTCTGGGTCCCCCATGCAAGCAGCAGGGACCCACATCCTGGAGCTGCCTCCCAGCGTGCACAGTCTGCAGGAAACGGGAATGAAGAACAAGGCCTCAGACCCAGCCACGCCGCTACGGTTCGTGGATGTCTCAAGCAGCAGGTTAACCATTGCACCAAGCACCCCGCCCTCCGCTTGTGGTTCTGATGGCGCTGCAGCCTGGGGGCAGCCCCGTCTCCCAGGAGCCCAGCTGCCTGTGGCGCAGAATGTTTCATTACACCACACCTAGCTGCTTGCTTTGACCTAGGCCCAGATCTTAGAAAAAGAATAACATATATACATACACAGTACACAATTGTTACAACCGTTATTATATTACGTATCAGTATATCTGCAATGAATAATATGTACCTACACGAAGCACTTCCAAAAACCCATAGAAAATGGAATTTAAAGATAGCATGTAGGACCCGGCATTGTGGTGTAGCAGGTGAAGCCGCAGCGTGCGGTGCTGGCATCCCATACGGGCACTGGTTCGAGACCCAGCTGCTCCACGTCAGACTCAGCTCCCTGCTCATGCCACTGGGAAGGTAACTGGTGACGACACAAGTGCCTGGCTCCCTGTCACTCTCGTGGGAGACCCAGATGGAGTTCCTGAGAGAGAGGTCTTCCATCCTCTGATTCACTCCCCAGATGGCCGCAACAGCCAGAACTGTGCCGATCCAAAGCCAGGAGCCAGGAGCCAGGAGCTTCTTCCGGATCTCCCATGGGGGTACAGGGGCCCAAGGACCTGGGCCATCTTCTACTGCTTTCCCAGGCCACAGCAGAGAGCTGGACTGGAAGAGGAGCAGCTGGGACTTGAACCAGCACCCATATGCAATGCTGGTGCCACAGGTTGTGACTTTACCCACTTTGCCATAGAGGTGACCCCCAATAAATAAGCATTTAAAGAAACAGTTGAGAGGCACTTCATGAGAAAGAAGAGACTTCCTTGAGCTTGAAGTTTGCAAGTTCACGGTTCAAGGCCAGGCAGCCCCACTGGTTTGGCACGTTGGTGGAGCCTGGACATGGCAGAGCAGGTGCAGAGGGCGGATCACACAGTAAGCCAGGAGTCAGAGCGAGGCCAGGCCAAACTCGGCTTCAGTGACCAACCCTCCGGAGAGAACCACCCTCCCTGGGCAATCTTAGGACTGCTCACCAGCCCCACCTCCAAGCCGCCCTCATTAGTTCACCTCCCTGCCCATAATCCATCAACTGTCACCATGAGACTTTGAGGCTTAGGGAGCAGCGTCGTGGTGCAGCAGGTTAAGCCGCCACCTGCAATGCCCACGCCCCAAGGGAGTGCCGGTTTGAGTCCTGGCTGCTCCACTTCCGATCCAACTTCCCTGCAGCAGAAGATGGCCCAAGTCCTCGGGCCTCTGCCACCCATGTGGGAGACCTGGATGGAGCTCCTGGCTCCTGGCTTCAGCCTGGCCCAGCCTTGGCTATTGTGATCATCTGGGGGAGTGAACCAGAGGATGGAAGACTTCTCTCTCTCTCTCTCTCTCTCTCTCTCTCTCTCTCTCTCTCTCTGCAATTCTGCTTTTCAGATACACAAATAAATCTTTAATAAAGGAAAGTCCACAGAAATGGACTTTACAGATGAGCTTGTTTTGAGGAAATGTGCTTATAGCTTTGCCGTGATGCGAACTTTCTCGCAGATGCCTCGTGTATCATTTTCGGGATAATTCAACAACATGCCTGCCTGCGCTTCAACTCCTGTCCACACACTGCAGCTGGAACAACTCCCAGTACAAGCTGGGAGTACGTCCTGGAAGAATTGGGTGATTGACATGGCGGGGGCGGGGCTTCTTCTACATTCTCACCTGACAGGAACCCAATGTCACCTAGGCAAGGCTCCCATCCCAGGGAGTGAAAGCCACATGGGTCATTAAAATTTCCCTAGGAACAAAAGCAAGCAAGCAAGCAAGCTGGCATCGTGATACACTGCATTAAAGCCCCAGCTTGGATCACCCACAACTCATACAGGAGTGCTGGTTCCAGTCCCAGCCACTGTTCTTCCAATCCAGCTCCCTGCTAATGTCCCTGGGAAGCAGCAGGTGATGGCTCAAGCACTTGGACCCCTGCCACCCACATGGGACACCTGGATGGAGTTCCTGGCTCCCAGCTTCCACCTGGCCCAGCCCTGGCTATTGTAGGCATCCGGGGAGTAAGCCATCAGATGGGAAAGCTCTCTCTCTTCTCTCTCTCTCACTCTCTCTCTCCCCCTTCCTCCCTCCCTCCCCCCATCACTCTGCCTCTCATATAAATAATAAATATTTTTTAAAAAAGAAACTGGTGAAATTAATTTTAATATTTTGAATTGAATCCTTCCAAAATTTCACCACTTCAGCATACGGCTGGAGCTGGACCAATTTGAAGCCAAGAGCCTGGAGCTTCTTCCAGGTCTCCCATGTGGGTGGCAGGGGCCCAAGGACTTGTGCCCATCTTCTGCTGCTTTCCCAGGCGCATTGGCAGGGAGCTGGATTGGAAGTGGAGCAGCCGGGACTCGAACCAGGGCCCATGTGGGATGTGTGTGCCCTCTTGTTCACAACAGCAGATGTGTGTTGCACACTTGTAGCTACATCCAGGTGCTTAGGGGCTGGCACTGCCCTGTGATGACCGCCAAGGCTGCGTCCAGGGAGACCTGGACCTTTCAGGGGGTGCCCAACTGCTGCACACCAGGGCCCCCGCATCCCCAGGCGTATGGGGCAGAGTGCAGCAGCAGCCGCCACAGCAGTGGTGGCTGCTGGCATCGCCCAGCAGAAAACGCCAGAAATGTCCCTTTCCTTTGGAAACCCGATCCAGGAAACTTGGGCTCCCTTTCCCTTGGCTGAAGTCAGAGGCTGAGAAAGAGCTGCTGCTTCTGGACAGCCAATCGCCTTCTGCCTCCCAAACCTCAGCCGTGTTTGGGGGAAAAAAAGTCTCCAGACGGAACGGAAGCAAACAACTCATCTTTCCGCCTGCTTTTTTCATCACGTACACGTTAGCCTACTCAAAAGGACTCTCTCTCTCTCTCTCTCTCTCTCTTAGTTTTCTCTGGTTTTGCACGCTGGATGATCCTGCATTGCAAGAGTCCTGGGCAGCCACAGGCAGAGGTGGCTCTTAGCCGGGAATCTTGACCATCACCGTCGGAATTCTGCGGGCTAAGCCAGTCCCGGTGACCGCTGGGCCGGCTGACCGCACACTGCTGGACCAGTACACGGAAGATGTATGAGGCTAGAGGCAGGGAGCACCAAGCCGCCTCCCCAAACCACCACCACCTCCAGACCCTGCCCGAAATATCCACACACCCAGCTGCGTAAGGATGGGGTCGTCCCTGCAGAGCCCCTGCCTGCGGTGGGGGTGGGGAAGGAGAGGGGGAAGGGAGGGTATGGTCCTGGGCGCTTGTTTCTCAGCCTGCTCTCCCTGAGCAATTTTTGTGTTTTAAACATTTTTCCAGTATGTCGTGGTGTCCCAAGACCGGAAGTTGCGAAAGCATTAACACACGGTGCAGCAGCCATGCGCACATGGGCATTGCTGCTCCGCCACTTCCTGTGTTTTTGGATTTATTCAAGAAGCACAGAGGAGCTAGCGTGCATAGTGGCGCAGCGGTCAAGCCCTTGCCTGTGACGCCTGCAGCCCCCTAGGGCGCTGATTTGAGTCCGGCTGCTCCACTTTCCATCCAGCTCCCTGCTAATGCGCTTGGGAAAGCAGCGGAGGATGGCCCATGTGCTTGGGCCCCTGACACCCACATGGGAGACCCGGATGAAGATCCATCATCCCCAAACTGATGCTCTGTCCCCACCCAAACACCCACTCCCCCTTCCCCAGCTCCCCCCGCCCCAGCCCCAGCACCTATCTTTCTATGTTCTGTCTCCGGGAGCCTGGCCACCCTGGGGACTCGTGTGAGTGGACTCACACAGCGTTTGTCATTCTCGTGTCTGGCCAGCTTCATTGTGAGCGTCACGTCCTGAGGATTCATCTGTGTCGTAGGCTGGGTCAGGATGTTCACGGGTGTGGGTTATATCTCATTTAAAACGCCCTAGCCTGAGACAATGGTGCTGCACGCAACAACCCTAAAAACTTCTCAATGGTTCACCTGAAGTGGGTGAATTGTATGCTCTGTGAGTTGCCTCAAAAAAGGGCTCATTTGAAAAAATACTGGCCGGCGCCACAGCTCACTAGGCTAATCCTCCGCCTGCGGCGCCAGCACCCCGGGTTCTAGTCCCGGTTGGGGCACCGGATTCTGTCCTGGTTGCCCCTCTTCCAGGCCAGCTCTCTGCTGTGGCCCGGGAGTGCAGTGGAGGATGGCCCAAGTGCTTGGGCCCTGCCCCCCATGGGAGACCAGGAGGAAGCAGCGCGCTGGCCATGGCGGCCATTTGGGCGGTGAACCAACGGAAGGAAGACCTCTCTCTCTCTCTCTCTCTCTCTCTCTCTCTCTCTCTCTCTCTCTCACTGTCTAACTCTGCCTGTGGAAAAAAAAATACTAATAGGGGCCGGTGTTGTGATGTAATGGGTTAAGCTGCCACCTGCGATACTGACGTCCCATATGGGCACCGGCTTGAGTCCTGGCTGCTCCACTTCATAGCTCTCTGCTATGGCCTGGGACAGCAGTGGAGGATGGTCCAAGTGCTTGGGCCCTGCACCCATGTGGGAGACCTGGAAGAAGCTCCTGGCTCCTGGCTTCAGCCTGGCCCAACCCCAGCTGTTGTGGGCATATGGAGAGTGAGCCAGGGGGTGGAAGATCTCTGTCTCTCTGTGTGTGTCTCTCTCTCCACAACTCTGCCTTTCAAACAGATTAAAAAAATAGATCTTTTTTTTTAAAAAAAAAAAAAAGGAAGAAATCTGGACACAGACACATACAGAGGGAGGCCAGTGAGGAAACATGGAGGAGACAGTGCCCACCTTGGTCAAGGGCATAGGAGGAGCTGGGGGCCTGCAGCGTGCCCCCTCAGCCCCCTCTGTGTCCACGGTGGTGTCTTCACAAGGACTACACCAAAGCAAAGGCGAGGGGTTCTGGGGCCAGTGTCCCTGGAGGAGAGGTCCCTCACCAGCCTGTGCACCTGCCACGTGAGCGTTCTGCGCTCTGGGGTTAATTCACTGGGAGGGAGAGAGACTCCTGCGTAACAAGCGTAACAATCGAGGGCTCAGATGCACAGAAGGACCCAGCTGAAATGGGGCAGGGCGTGGGGGAAGGGCAAGTGGCTCCCGTGGGCAATGGGGAGGGGCGTCGGGGGGAGTGAGTCACACGCAGGAAGGAGTCGTGTGCACAGGAAAGCCTCTGTCGAGCCCTGCCCTCCACCCCCACCCCCCGGGGTGTCCACGGCTTGGCCAGTGCCCCCTTCCCTGGCCAGGCCGGGTGGGGACAGCGTCAGGCCCCACCGCCACCGTGGAATGAGCCCTCACTCAGCGGGCAGAGCGCCTTGCCCTGGCGCCTGAGACAGCTCCATTCAGCAGTCCCGGGGCCCCCAGCCAAGCCAAACACCCTGATTTGTGTGGGGTTTTTCTTTCCCAGCCGAAGCAGGGCAGCGGGCGGGTGGGGCCTCAGCAGCCTCAGCACGCACAGGGACCTTTCTCCTCTGTCCCTGGGGGTCTTGGCCCCCCACCCACCCTGCAGGGCTCCAGACTTCCCTACACAGAACCAAGTCTCAGAGGCACCCTGGGGTCACAGGCCACGGGAGACCAGATGGCCCCTCCCCAGCCAGCTGGCCACCCTGTCACCTCCTCCTCCCTCTCCCTCCCTCCCTCCCTGCCCCTCACACACACCTGGCCAGCCCCCTCCTGTGCACGGTCGCCCCACACATGACCCTCACCTGGATCTGGGGTGTGAGTCCCCCCCCCGCTGCCCACTGCTGTCCCCCACATTGCAACGGCTTTTCCGAGACTGAGCAATACGGGTCACCCCCTTCTGCAGAATGGAGATCCAAGACTGACAACCCCACCCCCAAGGCGGTAGACATCAGTGGTGTCCCTCCCGCCCTGAACACAGCGGCAGGGACACAGGCCCCAGTGCGTCTGTCCTGTGTGCGGGAGCCATCGGCCTCAGAGACCTGAAGCCACCGTGCTTTCAGGACGCCAGGCTAGCCCGCCTGCAGACAGGGTTTCCAGGCTAGCCGACCACAAGAAATGATCTAAAGAAGCCCCGAGCCTCCGTGGAAAGAAAGATGCCCAGTGAGCTGCCCCCAGCTCTGACCACCATCTGCTTGAATTTGCATGTCTCCAGCTAAGAGGCAGCAAGGGGTGAGCACTTTGTAAGCACAGAGCGAGTCGAGAAAGAAACCCATGGTATAGACAGCCGGTTGATTTCCATTCTAGGTGACGTGGCTGGAAAAATGGAAGAGGAGCGTAACGAACCTTGACCTCTAGCTAACGCCATCAGCAAAACGAATTCGGGAGGGATCCGAGGGGTAGGTGCTGAGGTGCAGCAGGGAAGCTGCTGCTGTGGGGGGGGGGGCAGTCCCTGGCCCAGCTGCTCCACTTTTTTTTTTTTTAATGTATTTCTTTTTATTTGAAAGGCAGAGTTACAGACACAGAGAGGGAGAGACAGAGAGGTCTTCCATCCGGTGGTTCATTCCCAGAGTGGCTACAACAGTCAGGGCAGGGCCAGGCCAAAGCCAGGAGCCAGGAGCTTCTTCCAGGTCTCCCATGTGGGTGGCAGGGGTCCGAGCACTTGGGCCATCTTCTGCTGCTTTCCCAGGTGCATCAGCAGGGAGCTGGGTTGGAGGAGGAGCAGCAGCGACTTGAACCTGAGCCCACATGGGATGCGGTGCCGCAGGACAGGTGGAGGTTTAACCCACTGGGCCACAGCACTGGCCCCTCCATTTTTCTCATTAGCATTTACACCTGCGAGATTTGTTTTCCGGAGAGGCGGACAGAGAGACAGCGGCAGAGAGCTCCCTGTTCACTCCCCAAACACCCACAAGAGTCAGGGGTGACCTGGAGCCATGAACTGAGTCCGGGATCTCCGACGTCGAACTGAAGCTGCTTCCTCCCCAGGCTCCTCACCTGCTGCCTTTCATTTTTCCTTCTCTCTTTCCCCTTGGCTCACTGCAGACCCTTTCAAACGACAGCAGAGAGTGGTCCGTTTGTTTGGAGAGAGCATTCGAACGAGGGACTGAGGCCAGGCGGCAGCTGGTGGCCAAGTCCTGCAGGCCTGGGTAGGGCCTCCAGCTGCCGCCGGGCCGGGCACATCTGGGTCTGGAGCTCACCTTCAGCTTCGTAGTGGAGCGCGTGGGAAACATCTTCACCTGTCCACTCAAGAGGTGGACTCAGAGGGCCGGCGCTGTGGCGTAGCGGTTAAAGCCGCCGCCTGCAGTGCCAGCATCCCATAGGGGCGCCGGTTCGAGTCCCAGATGCTCCACGTCTGATCCAGCTCTCTGCTGTGGCCTGGGAAAGCAGCAGAAGATGGCCCAAGTCCTTGGGCCCCTGCACCCGCGTGGGAGACCCAGAGGAAGCTCCTGGTCCTGGCTTTGGATCGGTGCAGCTCCAGCCACTGCGGCCAACTGGGGAATGAATCAGTGGATAGAAGACCTCTCTCTCTGCCTCTCTTCTCTCTGTGTAACTCTTGACTTTCAAATACATAAATAAATCTTTTAAAAAAAATGCCTCTTGTGAGTTGGCTGCTCTGTAACTTCCTGTTTGCCTCCGGAAGCCTGCTACATCTGCAAGACAGCTCGCAGTAGTTCTCCCTTCCGTGCTCAAAGTGGGCCACCACCTTCTTCCCAGTGGGGATGGTCTGGCTGGCTTCTCTAGCTTTCTGGAGAGCAGCTGGGAGGCTGCCACACCCCCCTCTGGCTCCATCAGCCTCTTCTTGTCCTGACCAGGGTTGCTGTGCCTCCAACATGACTCAGGAGAGACGGAGCCCCACGCTGTGTCCCTGCTGCACTGACCCCCACCACCACAGCCCCCTGCAGAGTCCCCAGTGGCCTTCCTGGGGGATGCTGGGAGAAAACACCCTGTGCATGTGTAGGGGACGGGGGTGGATCCCTGTCTGTGCAGAGACGGCAGCTACCCCAGGGCACATCCCACACTGGACATAGCACGCAGGTGCAAGACCCACCTCCAGCTCTGGACTCCAGTTCCCTGCTAACGCAGACCTTGGGAGGCAGTGGTGATGGTTCAGAGTGATTGGGTCCCTGCTGCTCATGTGGGAGACCCAGATGGAGTTCCTGGTTCCATGCTCCAGCCTGGCCTAGCCCTGTCTGTTGCAGGTATTTGGAGAATGAACCACGGCTCTGTGTGTGTGTGTGTGTGTGTGTGTCTCCTCCCTCCCCTCTTCCTTTTAAATTTTATTTATTTATTTCAAAGACAGACAGAGCGAGCTCCCATCCACTGGTTCACACCTCAAACATCACACAGAGGTCCAGCACTGTGGCGTAGCAGGTAAAGCCACCACCTTCAGTGCCGGCATCCCATATGGGCACCGGTTTGAGTCCCAGCTGCTTCACTTCCGATCCAGCTCTCTGCTACAGCCTGCTTAAGGCACCTGTGCTCCATGCCGGACTACCTGGGTTCAATTTCCTCCTCCGGTTTCCTGTCAGTGCCCATCCTGGGAGGTGGCAAGTGATGGCTCGAAACGGTCAAGTTCATGCCGCCACCATGGGAGACCTGCTCTGAGTTTCTGGCTCCTGAGTTCTGCCTGATTTTTTTTTTTTAAGATTTATTTATTTATTTGAAGGGCAGAGTTACAGAGAGGCAGAGAGAGAGAGAGGTCTTCCATCCGCTGGTTCACTCTCCAATTGGCCACAATGGCCAGAGCTGCGCCGATCTAAAGCCAGGAGCCAGGAGATTCTTCTGGGTCTCCCACATGGGTGAAAGGGTCCAAGCACTTGGGCCATCTTCCACTGCTTTCCCAGGCCATAGCAGAGAGCTGGATTGGAAGTGGAGCAGCCGGGACTTGAACCGGTGCCCATATGGGATGCTGGCACTGCAGGTGGTGTTTTACCCACTACAGCACAGTGCTGGCCCCATGGCTTCTGTCCTAAGAGTCATGGTGGCAGACCCCGGGCGGGAGTCTGGCAGTCTTCCAGGTTGACTTGGCTAACCCACCCACACAGCCGAGGCGCAGAACAAGGCCCTCACCCTGGCACTGACCATGCTGTTCGGCCTGAGGTTCCGTAGCCTCTCCCAGCACTGACCACATCCGGGCCACTCTTCCATCTGTGTCACCACGAGCTGTGGCAGGCAGGACCGGCTGCTGCCAGGCACACGAGGAGGAGGAGGAGGAGGCCTGAGTCAGTCCACACCACGCCCTCTCTTGCAGCAGTCTGCAGCTTCCCCTGGGGAACTCCGTGTCCCTCGGCACTGTCCTGCCTGCCACAGAGGCCACACACACAGGGCCTCAGCAGCCCTGGTGTGGATGGGACCTCTCCTTTTCTCTTCCTTCCTGTTTCTCTGTATCACAGTGAAATAAAAAATTTTCATAAAAAAAAAAAAAGGTGGGGACTGACACTGTGGTGTAGTGGGTTAAAGTCCTGGTCTGCAGTGCCGGCATCCCATATGGGCGCCCGTTCTAGTCCCGGCTGCTCCACTTCCAATCCAGCTCTCTGCTGTGGCCTGAGAAAGCAGTAGGCCCAAGTGCTTGGGCCCCTGCACCTACGTGGGAGACCCAGAGGAGGCTCCTGGTTCCTGGCTTCAGATTGGCACAGCTCCGGCCATTGCAGCCATTTGGGGAGTAAGCCAGTGGATGGAAGCCCCCTCTCTCTTTCTCTGCCTCTCCTCTCTCTGTGAAACTTTGCCTTTCAAATGAATAAATAAATCTTAAAAAAAAAAAAAAGTTTGCATGAAACCAGCTTATCTTTAATTCCATTGTCCCTGCGCTGTTTAAAGCATCCATGGCATTCACACATAGCCTCACCAACCTGCCACTCCACTCCACCCCCAAGGTTGTGCCAGGGCCCTGTGGCCGGTATGCAGAGGGCAAGGTGCCACCTGCCAGCCTGGGCCCTGCACCTCTACCAAAGGGGCCAGAGCCACTGCAGGTCTCCTCCTGTGTGGCCCTAGCGGGGTGGGGGGCAGGTCTTCTGTGGTGTCCTGTCTCTGGTCCTGAGGCACCTGGGGGGTTTGCAGGAGATTCGAATGCCATGGGGGGTGCACGGGAGCCACTCCCGGGGTGCTGCAGCACCAGGCCCTTGTCTGATGCATGGAGCGAGGCGGGCAGTGGATGGGAGGGTGGAGCGAGCTCCCCTTGGCTCTCCACTGGCTGCCTCAGGATTGAGGTCACCGGGCCCCAGCCAGCCCCCCACGCTCCGCCTTTCGCAAGTGCGTGTTCCCGTGGGACTCTGTCATGCCTCAGTGCCTCGGGGAGAAGCCCTGTGCACGGTTGGCGCCATTTCTTATCTCATTTATCTTCTGTTCTCTCACCTAGGGCTTCTCATAAAGGCGCAGAATAAGGTGGTGCAGACAGAGAGCCCTGGGGGGGGGGGGCGGGATTCCTCCCCCTTGTAGGTGTCCCTTTCTCCCACCCCCAACTCCGCGCAGGGACCCCAGGCTGCCTCCCTGCCCCCGCCCTGAGCACAGGCTCTCTTTGTAGGGTTGGCTCCCAGCTGCCGAGTGAATCGGGGACTTGGTGTGGCCCTGGGGCTTCAACCCTGCTCGGTCCATCCCTGCCCCCGCCACACACTGGCTGCTTTAACCAGGCAGCAGCCACGTGGCGGGGCAGCTGCCCTGTGCTCCTTAAACAACATGGACCTGTTTGTGCTGAGACATCCTTCCATTTCCCCCTGGGATGCAGAAACAGGAGGGGGAGCAGGGAGGGGGACGCCCGTTTTGCGGGAGTGAGGGCTGGGCTGGGTGGCCCTGGGTTCTAGTCTCGGGCTGCTTGGTCTTGGGCACGTGGGCACCATGCCCCGACTTCCGCTTCCTGCTTTGTACGTTGGACACAGAAAGGCCCAGGTAGGGACTCAGCTCAGGCAGGCCAGGGCCACCCCGGGACAGTCGCCCACAAGGATCTCAGGCGTGCTAAAGTGACCTCAGGTGTCACCCAGGGGTCTCAAGGGTCCCGCTCTCTGAGCTCAGCCCGACCTCTGCTCTCACCCTTGACTGATGGGTGAAAGGTTCTAGAATGTCTCTCCTTCCCGGCCTGCTCACTCCACACTCTGTGCTGGGAGAGGAGGGGGCAGGAGACAGTGCACGGTTTCCACGTAGCCTCTTGAGAATTTTTTACCGAAAGAGGGTTTTTTTTTTTCCTTTCTGAAAAAGCATCAAGCTATTTGTAGTCTGAGTTGGTTGAACAGATTTTTCTTAGTGTCACTGATTTTTTTTTTCTACTCATTAACTTTTCCTTATGAATTAAAAAATAGTCTTTTTCCCCCCTCCCAGCACAGGAGTATTTTATTTACTCCTCTGTGTACCACAGCTTGCCGGGTAGAGGAGACACAAACACCCACTTGGAGATACGGATTTCCTTGGAGCCGCGGCATCCTGGCTGGGTACCGCCCCCACAGAATCAGAATTCCCAGGAGGGCGGGGGGTTGTGCTTTTGGGTGCATGGGACAGAAGTGTCTGCAGAAGTTCGGCCTGGGCCCTGAGCCACTGGGCGTCCTGGCCCCAGTCTGAGAGGCTTTGTGACACTCACGGTCTCCCCTCGGCCAAGTGCAGATTCTGTGTCATGAGCTGGTAACCAGGACCCTGGCTGCCCACCTGCCTGACTTGAGAAATGAAGCCAGGAGCTAGGAACTCCATTCTGGTCTCTCAAGTGGGTGGCAGGGGCCCAAGGACTTGGGCCCTCCTCCACTGCTTCCCAGGCGCATTAGCAGGGAGCCGTATGGGAAGCAGAGCAGCCAGGATGCAAACAGCATGCAGTATGGGATACAGGCGTCACGGCTTAACCCCGCTGCACCACAATACCAGCCTCACCTCTGGGCTGTTCCAGTAAAGCACTGAGCCCCATCTTTCCAGGGGAAGGCTCCTAGGCCTGTTCATGGCATCCGCGCCACCCTGGTTCTCCATTAAACACTGCTCTTTGAAGCAGCTGCCATCTTTTGGGATCCAATCACCTTGGTAATCAGAAGATTTTGTCTTTTTTTTTTGGCTCCCGCCTCCCGGCTTGTTGTAAAACCTATCGCTCCTCTCACTCTTGGTCCAAGCAGAGCCAAGTTCAAAGCCCTCTGACCCAAGGCCGCCCAGAGCCACCCTCGCATTTGGATCTCAGGACAGCACTGACCAAGGCCCTTTCCTGCAGGGTTCCGGCCTATTGTCCCTTTTGTCCCCAGCACCTAACACCTGCACAGGTTCGTACGTGCTAAATATCCAGGCATCATTTTTCACAGAGCAGCTAAACAATTTCACAGAGGCCCAGGCCTCCCCAGCCCCTCGGAACCCAGGAGGAGAATGCTCTCAAGTCTTGCCTATCCCACCCAGGGACAGCCAGGGGCTGGAGAGGGGAGGCTGTGTGCGGAGAGGGGAGGCTGTGTGCGCAGGGGATGTGCCTGGCCGGCTCCTGCCCCTGGGGCTGTCACCTGGGGAGGTGGTGACAACCACAGACCCAACAGTCCCTTTCTGAAGGGACAAAGAGGTGCTACCTGGGGAACACCCTGTAGGGGCTCCAGGCCACGGGCACCTGGGAATGTGACAGTGACACAAGTGACAGGAGGGACTCAGGCCCTCGTCCATTGAGGTCCTGCCAATGGGTTAAAGGTCAGGGGCCTCAATTTCTCCATCTGTGAGGTGCAGGCTCTGGCCCCGGCCTTCACAGTACGCCCTTGTTCTCCGTGACCCCCGTCTCCTCTGGGTGGAAGCCTGTGGGATGTGCAGAGCTGGGTGCACAGTGGGCTGCCAGTTCAGCCCCGGCACAAATAGTCCCATTTCACTGCCCAGGAAAAGAAAGGCTGGACCATTGCCCAAGGGAGGGTGCTTTGCAGCTGGCGGCTGTGTCTGCTTCCAGCGTTACATGGATGCTGTCATCCGCGCGGAGTGGCCCGCACCTTTTGCTGTGATGGGGAGAGCAGTGCTGGCCTGAGGCTGGGGTGCGGCTCTAGACAGGGACTGGGGTGGGGGTGGGGGTGGGGGTCCCCGGGGAGCGAGGGAGCGCAGAGTCCTGGCCTGGGCTGAGGCCAGATGAAGCACACGGCGGGAACGGGCCCCGCAGGAGCGGGTGGGGCTCGCCAGGTCGCCCCACGGCGCGACGCCGCCTGCAGGAGACGAGGGCGCCGCCCCAAGCCGGCGGCGCGGGCCGTGGGGGGCTCCGCGGTCCCCGCCCCCGCCGGGTCGCGCGTGGGCGCGGCGCGCGCCGATTGGTTGGCAGGGCGCGCGGGCGGGGCGCGGCGGCGCGGAGGGCGGGTCACCCCGCCGCGGCCCGGCCTGCGCGCCCGCCCGCCCGCCGCACGTCCCCCCGCCGCGGCCACCATGAGCACGGGCCTGCGGTACAAGAGCAAGCTGGCGACCCCAGGTGAGCCCGGCGCCCGCCGCGTGCCCGCGCGCGCCTTTGTCCCCGCCGCGCGCCCGCCCCTCACCATGTCTCTCCGTCTCTCCCCCGCCCGCCCGGACCCGCCCCGGACCCGGACCCGGACCCCGACCCCGACCCGCAGAGGACAAGCAGGTACGCGCGCGCCGCCGGAGCCGGCGGCTGTCAGCTATTGTTGCTGGGCGCCCAGGCTCGACCCCGCCCCCGTCGGCCTTGCCCCAGCCCTGTTGCGGTAGCTGATGGGCAGCGGGACAGTGTCGCCGCGCCTCCGCGGGTGGCTACGGCCGGGCGGAGTGGGTAGCGCCAGGGAGGCCCGGCGAAGGGACCCTCTCAGCGAGGGGCCGTGCGCCCCTGCCTGGATTGGAGGATGGGCTGGGCGCCCCCTCCCACTGGTCCAGCGCCCGCATCTTGCTCTTTGCTGACCCGCCCCGCAGGCCACGTGCTGGGGGTCCTGGGTGAGGTCATGGGCATAACAGGTCACAGGCCGGGGAGGGGACTCTGTCCACCCGCGGGGGCACCTCCGTGCCCCTGCGTCGTTTGCACCCCGTCCCCACACTCAGATTCCAATGTGCTGGTGTGTGACTGCATCCCTCCAGGCCTCATCTGAGTCATTCTGGTCCCCAGAACGGGTCCCCCGAACCCAGTGGGTACCAGCAGGCTCTGCGCGAAGGGGCTAGCCTGGTCCCCACCCTCCAGGAATGCAGAACCCGAGGCGGGGTGGGCTTGGACCTGGGCATCCCTTGTGAAAATACAGCGAGCTCTGGGTGAAACAAAGCTTTGAGGTCTCAGAGTGGGAAGGGGGTGGGAGACGAGGTGGGGGGATGGGGGAGCCTCTGCTGGCCTCCCTGGCTTGAAACCAGCTAGTTTGTTTGGGAGAGAAATCGGAACGGCTTGGTTCTGGCCCCAGCGTGGCCGGCCATGGCAGTCCTGATTAGAGCTCTAGAGAGTCATCCATACCCAGCACCGGTGCCGTGGGGACCCCGGAGTCCCTGCCCAAGGGGGCCGCAGGCAGGGCGGGAGTCGGGGAGTCACTGGCTGGCTGCCTGATGCCAATCTCCTGGCAGGGACCCGCCCCACCCATGGGCTGGCGGGCTGGCTGGCGGGCGAGGTTCTCTGGGAGGGGCTCCCCAGGGAGCCTTGCTGGGGGCTCCCTCTCCATCACAGCAGGTCAGACAAAGCCTGAGATGCAGGGAGCGGCAGCCAGCCGAGCAGCCAGCCGGCTGGCCGAGCTATTGTTTAGGGAGACAGGAGCTCAGCCCTGCACCACAGCTGCTCCTAGGCCTGCTGTGCCCCCAAGCTTAGCCTGAGGGTCTCCAAGTCCCCAGGATCCCCACGCCCTCCCTCCCAGCACCGCCAGCTTTCTCTAGCCCACTACTGCTGGGATGGGGACCCCCCCACTCCTGCCCACGGGGAAGCCCCTCCCTCGGGCCTGGGTTTGCCTTCTATCCTTTGTGATCAGCTGGGAGCCAGCTTCACCCGTTGCGTGCACCCAGGCCTGGAGAGAAAGGGCATAATACCTGCTGGGTCCTAGGGTGGGGGTGGGGATAGGGTGGGGGTGGGGGTTTGGGCCTCGGGGAGTCGGAAGCACTGGGTAACTTGTTCCGGACCCTGCTGTGTATCCAGGCGTCATTTTGACTCTGCGAGTGGGGGTGGGGGTGGGCTATGCCCCCCACCTTCTCTTAGGCAGCATTGGGGGGGGGGCCTTCTGATGGCCTTGTCTGCTGCTTCCAGAGCTGACCAAAGATTCTAAGAATGGAGTTGCCTGGAGGGTTCCAGGACCAGGACGGGGGTAGGCACAGGGGCTGTCACTCAGCTCAGAAAGCCCTGAGGAGTGTTGGTTCTGCATTGGGGCCCAGAGGTGGGGTGGCAGGGCTGCCCCAGGGAGTCCAGGATGGGCTTACCAGACCCTAGTAGGTGGTGGGACAGACCCAGTGGGAGTGGAGAGGGAAGATTCTCACCCCTCCCCCGAGCCTAGACCTCCCCAGAGGCTTGAGCTTTGCCAGTGGGGAAACTGAGGCAGCAGGCACACAACAAACTCCGCCAGACACCAGGGCATGGGGTGCTGAGGCTGTCTCCCAGCCTGAAGCCCCAGCCAGGGCTTGTGTGCTAGGAGGAGAGGGTCCCCTGGGCCAGAGACGCCTGCCGTCTGGACGGTGCTGCTGGGCTGAGGGCTGTGTGAAGTGGACACTGGCAGAGCCGGAGCTGCAGCGGACTCTGGGCTGCAGAGGGCTGGCCAGGGCCAGGGAGCGGCTTTCTGTGGCTGCTGGGGGAGTGGCAACACGAGGTCCACCGAATGAAGGGCTCCCTTGTTCCCCAGCCGTGGGCCTGCCCTCCCCTCCAGGTGCCAGTGGCTGGAGGCCCCGGAGCGGGACCGGGGCCTGGACAGGGGGGCCCAGGCTGCTCTGCCAGGGGACCCAAGAAGGGAGGGTCTGTTTGAGGGAGGTAAGGGCCCCCTGCCGCTTGCATGCCGGCCAGGGGCACTCCGGTCCACCTAGAAGGGTTTGCTGGCAGCGCTCAGGCGTCCCCTGGCGGGGTTCCTGGTGTGGCCACACCAGGGGCAGACCCGAGCTGATGGGAATTCTCCAGCCCTTACTCCTGCATGGGTCAAAGCAGGCGGTGTCCCCAGGGACGGTGGGGGCGGGCCCCACTCCATCATCTTCCATGGGGGTTGCTCTGGGTGGCCTGCTGGCGGGGCTTCCAAGTTTGGAGTTGGACCGAGGAGGGTGATCCTTTCCTCCTCTCCCCCTCCCCCTCCCCCAAGCCGCCGCCGCCGCCTCGAGAGAGAGGTGGGCTCTGCCCTCGCCTTCTTCCCTGCATGGCGGGGAAGACTTCCCCAAATACGCACCCGCGCGCCCGCGCCCGCGCCCGCGCACGCGCATGGATGTTATCACCATGGGAAGGGGAGAGGGTGCGTCTGTGGGCACCCGGGAGGTGCAGCGACACCGCCCGGAGGTTTGCGGACGGCACCTGGGAGGCAAGCGCGGGTGCCGAACGGGGCCCGCTGCACGCGGTTGCGCGTGGGTCCCGGGAGGTACGCCAGCGCCCTCTGGCGGGCGGCACCGCGACAACCACAGACGCCCCCTACCCCCACCCCCACCCTCTCCGCGGGCCCGGGTCCCGCCCGCGTGGGCGTCCCGGTCCCGACAAAAGCCCCACCCCGACCTGCCCGCTGTGCTGACATCCCGACTTGAGGCCTCGCGGGCCCCGCGGGGCTCCCGGCGCACGCGGCGCCGTGGCCGCGCCCGCGCGCTCCGGCGCTCCGGCTCTCCGCCCCGCGGCCCCGATTCCCCGCGGCCGTTTCCCGGCGACGGCGGGCGGGGCCCGGCCCGCCGCCCCCCTGCCGCGAGCGCCGCGAAGCCCCGCCTCCAGCTCGGGTGCGGGAGCCGGGCCTGCCCCAGGCCGCGACGCAGCTGCCGGCGCTCGGGGGCGCAGCGCAGAGGCAGGGGCATGGCGTGGACCGCTGCCACGGGTGGGCGGCATCCCGGCTCCGGCCCTGAGTTTGCGTGCGCGCCGAGCGGAGCCGAAAACCAGGCTTAGGGGCAGTCCGGGCCGTGAGTCCCTCGCGAGTGCCCGGGTCCACGCGGCCGGGCAGGGTCACCAAGGGGGGGGATCGCCGCCATGGACTCTCTGGCAGCGCCCCAGGACCGCCTGGTGGAGCAGCTGCTGTCGCCACGGACCCAGGCCCAGAGGCGGCTCAAGGTGTGTGTGTGCGTGTGTGTGTGTGTGTGTGTGTGTGGACGTGGGGCAGAATGTGGGTCAGTGCGTGCGCGCCTGCCCAGCTCAGGACTGTGTGAACCTGGGGACGTGGCGGTGGCTGGCAGGGCCAGGGTCCGCCGGGGGGTGGGGGCTGGGACCCCGCTCCCGGGCGGGGGAGGCTCCTCGCCGCTGGCTATAAATAGCCCCTCTGCTCTGCCGCTGCCATTGCAGCCGCCGCCCCCACGGCTGGATCCGGGCCAGGAGGGGCCGCCTCCCAGGGCCCTGGCCCTGGAGCAGGGGGTGAGTGTTGAGGCTTGGCCTCTTCTTGGGCCCTGAGTGTGTCCCAGGCCAGGTGCCTTATACCCAGAAAGGGAGGACACTTGCCTGTCGCCATCCCCGCACCCGCACATGCAGTCTGGGGTTGGGGGGGGGGGAGGGGTCCTGGTTGAGGTTGGGGAAGGGGGTGTCTGCCCACCTCCACACCTTTGCTGTTTTCACCGACCAGGTACCCCACTGCTGGCACTGCTGTCTCCTCTATCCTGTAGGCAACAGGGCGTTTGGTTCTCCCCCATACGCCCTCACCTGTCCCACCCTTGCTCCCTCCTAGGACATCGACAAGCAGTACGTGGGCTTTGCCACACTGCCCAACCAGGTGCATCGCAAGTCGGTGAAGAAGGGCTTTGACTTCACGCTCATGGTGGCGGGTGAGTGGGCTGGGCTTGGGATCCCTGGGCCAGCCAGGCTGCATCCTTGGTGGTGGTGGTGGTGTGGGTGAGTGTGTGTGTGTGTGTGTGCGCGTGCAGATCTAAGCTGACCCCTTCACTTGTACCGGTGGGCAGGTGAGTCCGGCCTGGGGAAATCCACACTGGTACACAGCCTCTTCCTGACCGACCTCTATAAGGACCGGAAGCTGCTGAGTGCAGAGGGTGAGTGACCCACGGACCCCTGCCACGTGACCATACACCCCCCCCCCCACCACGAATGGCATCCTTCCAGGTCCAGCGCCCTCTTCCTCAAACAGCATAGGTCTCCTGTGCAGGGTCGACAAGGGGGTGGCCCTGATGGCAGTCAGGCGGTGTGGCGGGGGGGGGGTCGGGGTAGTCCTCCCCCCTCCACACAGGGCCCCTCCCCCTCCCCCCAGAACGCATCAATCAGACAGTGGAGATCTTGAAGCACACCGTGGACATCGAGGAGAAGGGGGTCAAGCTGAAACTCACCATTGTGGACACGCCGGGCTTTGGGGATGCCGTCAACAACTCTGAGTGGTGAGCAAGGGCCTGGTCCACCCTGCACCTCCCCTGGGAGCCTTCCCTGCCCGGCCGGCAGCCTGGCCTCATGCTGGCACCTTGCCCCGGCCCCCAGCTGGAAGCCCATCACGGACTACGTGGACCAGCAGTTCGAGCAGTATTTCCGCGACGAGAGCGGCCTGAACCGCAAAAACATCCAAGACAACCGCGTGCACTGCTGCCTCTACTTCATCTCCCCGTTTGGGCACGGGTACGGGTGTGCCGCCCCGGCTGGGCGTGGGCGGGGCCAGGCTGGGGGCGTGCGCAGGGGGCGTGGCGGGACCAGGCTGGGCGTGTGCACGGGTACGGGTGTGCTGCCCCGGCTGGGGCGTGGCGGGGCCGGGCTGGGCGGGGCCGGGGGCGTGGCGGGGCCAGGCTGGGCTTGTGCAGGGGGACGTGGGCGGGGCCAGGCTGGTCGTGTGCAGGGGGACGTGGGCAGGGGCCAAGCTGGGCTTGTGCCATCACCGTGCCCCCCTCTCTCCACACGCAGGCTGCGGCCAGTGGACGTGGGCTTCATGAAGGCCTTGCACGAAAAAGTCAACATCGTGCCCCTCATTGCCAAGGCCGACTGCCTGGTCCCCAGCGAGATCCGGAAGCTGAAAGAGCGGGTGAGCCCTGCTGGGGCGGAGTGGCTCCCCAGGGACGGGGGGGGGGGGGGGGCGGAGTTGGAGACAGCCAGGGCCACCTAGCCAGCCACTCCAGCCCGCCCCATCCGACAGCCCTGGGTGTCCCTCCACTTCCACAGATCCGGGAAGAGATCGACAAATTCGGGATCCATGTGTACCAGTTCCCCGAGTGTGACTCCGACGAGGATGAGGACTTTAAGCAACAGGACCGGGAGCTGAAGGTGAATGTTCCCAGAGCTCCCGAGGGCGGGGGCTCTGGGGGCCTCCCAGCAGCCAGAAGAGGGGGCAGGTACGGGGCACCTGCTGGAGCCTCGGCAACCGGGGAGGCACTGCTGGGCTTTGGGAGGCAGCGAGAAGCCAGCAGGCGAGAACAGCACGTTGGAGGGGCGCCCCCAGGCTGAGCCTCTCAGGCCTGAGCACCTGCCAGGTGGGCTGAGCCCTTGCTCCCTCCCCCCCAGGAAAGCGCCCCCTTTGCAGTCATTGGCAGCAACACCGTGGTGGAAGCCAAGGGCCAGCGGGTCCGGGGCCGCCTGTACCCCTGGGGCATCGTAGAGGGTGAGCTGGGGCCGGGGAGGGTGGGCTGGGCTGGGGTAGGGCCCGGGAGGGGCAGGTTCCCTCGGGGTGGGCGCTGGCCCACCGCCCGCCGCCCACACCCGCCGCGCGCTCCTGCCCCCCAGTGGAGAACCAGGCGCACTGCGACTTCGTGAAGCTGCGCAACATGCTCATCCGCACGCACATGCACGACCTCAAGGACGTGACGTGCGACGTGCACTACGAGAACTACCGCGCGCACTGCATCCAGCAGATGACCAGGTGGGCCGCCCGCCCCGCCCCTGCGCCCGCGTCCCGGGAAGGGGCGGGGGCGACAAGGAGCTGGCGCCCCGCGCCCACCACGCCGTGCCGCCCACCCCCGCAGCAAACTGACCCAGGACAGCCGCATGGAGAGCCCCATCCCCATCCTGCCGCTGCCCACGCCGGACGCGGAGACCGAGAAGCTCATCCGAATGAAAGACGAAGAGGTGGGCGAGGCGCTGAGCGCGGGGCGGGGCCTGCGGTGGGGGAGGAGCTGAGCGCGGGGCGGGGGGCCTGGTGGGGCGGAGAGGAACCGAGGCGTGAGGTGGGGTGGCGGGGCTGAGCGGCTGGGGTGGGGCTGAGCGGCGAGGAGGAGCCGGGGCGTGGGACGGGGCGAGCGGTGGGGGCGCGGGGCGGAGCGGCAGGGGCGGAGCGGGGCAGTGTGGGAGGGGCTTGGGCGGGGCGGGGTGGGGCGGAGTGGCGAGGAGGAGCCGGGGCGTGGGACGGGGCGGAGCCGGATGTGGGCGTGGCTGAGCGGCTGGGGTGGGGCTGAGCAGCAGTGAGCACGGGTGCGGGCGGGGCTTACTGGTGGGGGCGGGGCTTGAACTGAGTGGGGCGGGGCTGAGGCGTCGGGTGGGGCTGACCGGTGGGGGCGGGGAGGAGCCGGGGCGGGGAGGAGGGGCTCCCGAGGGGACAGGGAGGGTTGGCCTTTAATGCGTGCCCCTGCCCTCGGCTTTCCGCACCCCTTCTAGCTAAGGCGCATGCAGGAGATGCTACAGAAGATGAAGCAGCAGATGCAGGACCAGTGACCCCCGCCCCAGCCCCACGTCGCCACGGATAGGCCGCCCACCCCCGAGCCCCAGACTGGCCTGCGTCACCGCCCAGGATCCACCCGGCTCTCAGACTGGCCCGCACCCGATCCTAAACCCAGAGTGGGCCCTGACCGGAGTGTTCCCAATCGGAAAAGACGCGGAGCCGCAGCCCCCAGGAGACCCTAATTTATTCTCAGCACCGGCCTCTCCCAGGCCACTTGCGTTCCCCACCCCCCCATGAGGCCTGAACTCTACAAACCCGCAGGCCCCGCTCAGGCAGGTGGGGAAACCAAGGCAGATGCGGGGGGCCTGCGCCCCTCCCCCAGTGCCGCAGAGCGGACTTGGGAGCCCACTCCTTCGTGTATGCCCAGGTGGGCCGGGTCGTCCTTTTCCTCCCCAACCGCGCGCAGGCGCTCTGGAAGCCCAGCCGTCAACGGTATGCGGGCGCGCACGCCCCTTCCCCGCACCTGGAGGTCAGCTGGAGGAGTTGCAGGGGGCGTGGGCACTGGGCCACCCCTGACTCCCTGCGCCCAGAGGGCTGTTCAGCGCCCCCCACCCGGAAGCCCCAGGCCCCTTCTCCCCCAGCAGCACCGTTGCGCGCCGGGAAATCTTGGCCCTCGGCCTCCGAGGTCTGCACCCGCATGACCCCCGTGCTCCGTTTCGTTCCGTTGTGAATGCAGCGCCCTGTCCTGGAGACAGGGGAACATGTCTGTTGGTGAAGTCGCAGCGGGCGTCCCGAGTGCTCCGTGCGCGCTTGGCGGGGTGGGTGGGGACGGAAACCGGCGCGGTGGTGGAGCCCGGGCGATAGCACCCTATCTGCCGCCCCAGTCCCCGACGGCGCGGCCTCGGGGTTATTTCTGGCGAGACAGTGGCCCTGTGGTCTAGACCCCTCTCCTCCAGAGCAAACTGGGCCACCCTCTTCCTCCTCCTTCTCCTCTCGCCATGGGCTCTGGTGAGTCTGGGGTCTGATCGCCCCCACCCCACCCTACCCCGCGACCGCGCCCTGGGCAGACCTGGACAGGGGTGCGCCCTGGTGGTTTTCGGCTGCACTGTAGGGGAGCGTCCTTGGAGCCAGGGCGCAGTGCGGTCGGGGTGGAGAGGTTGGAGAGCTGGACTGAGCCTGGCGCCCGGCTCACCGCGGCGGTTCTTTTACAGGGCCGCGCGGGGCGCTGAGCCTGCTGCTCCTGCTGCTGGCCGCACGGAGCCGCCCGGCCGCGGGCTGCCCCGCGCCTTGTAGCTGCGCGGGGACGCGCGTGGACTGCGGGCGCCGCGGGCTGACCTGGGCCTCTCTGCCGGCCGCCTTCCCGCCCGACACCACCGAACTGGTGCTGACTGGCAACAACCTGACGGTGCTGCCGCCGGGGCTGCTGGACGCGCTGCCCGCGCTGCGCGCAGTGCACCTGGGCGCCAATCCCTGGCGCTGCGACTGCCACCTGGTGCCGCTGCGCGCCTGGCTGGCCGGCCGCCCCGAGCGCGAGCCCTACCGCGACGTGCGCTGCGTCGCGCCCCCGGCGCTGCGCGGCCGGCTGCTGCCCTACCTGACCGAGGACGAGCTGCGCGCCGCCTGCGTGTGGGGCCGGCTGTGCTGGGGGGCGCTGGCGGCGCAGGGGGCGCTGCTGGTCCTCGGCCTGCTACACGCGCTGCTGCTGGTGCTGCTGCTGTGTCGCCTGCGGAGGCTGCGCGCTCTCAACCGCAACCGCGCGGCGCACCAGCTTGCGCTCACAGCTCCGCTGGTGGCCGAACAGGCTGGATCCGGCCCGTCCTGAGAGGAGCGACTGGTGCTGAGCCAACGCGGGCCTGCACGCCGGGGGAGAGACCTTGCGCTGGGAGCCCCCCCCCCACACACACACCTGGTCTGGGTCTCCGCCTCCGCCCATGGCCCGCACGCAGGAGGGAACGGAACCGCTTGCTCGCTTAGAGAGGTGGAGGGACCCAGCTGTGGCTCAAACCCTGTGGATTCTCCCCTCCCAATCTGAGGAGCTAAATAAACCTTTCTCCCTGTCGCTACCAGATTCCTGCGACCTGGAAAATCCCCCTCTAGCCCCCACCTCAAGAAGGTCTCCAGGGAGGTAGCCCCAGGAGACGCGATCACATCTTAACACACAGCCAAACTGAACGCTGGGAACAAAGAGTTTGTAACCTCTTCCCCGCCCACACCATCACCTGGGAAAGGAGCAGCGGGAGAGACTCCTTATTGAGGGTCTTTGGAATCAGTGTACCCCAGCATGAGCCAGGCGCCCCCAAATCGCCTTATCACCCCAGCCTCCCCATCACACCACACAAGCTGCAGCCGCTGGCTCCCTCCGGGGCTCACAACCCACTCCAGCCCCCAGGGCCGCCTGCTCCCTGCACCCCTAAAGCTAAGCAGCCGATGTTCTGTGATGTCTCCCGCCTCCCTGGGGGATCCCGCGGGGCCAGGATGCCAACAGCAAGCACAGGTGGCCCAGATGTGCAAAGGATGCGTTCCTAGCTGCTCTGCTTCCCTGGGTTCAGCGCCCCCCCCCCAGCGGGCCCTGTGAACAATGGCAGCTGTTTTCCATGGACCCCCAAGAGAAACCTCGGGCCGCCCCCCCCCCCCCGCGCCCTACTACCTCTGACCCGGTCGGGAGCCTGCCGCTGACACAACCTTTGTGGGAAAAGACAGATGGCCCTCCACGGGGCTGATGCTATCTGAGGGCTGCTGGCCAGACGTGAGGCTGAAGCCACCGCCTCCTTTTGTGGGCAGGTGCACGGCATCCGGTCTGCTCTCCTCTCCGGTCCTCCATCCGGCCCCCTTATCACCGCATCGCCACGATGGCCGCCTTCGTACAAATGACCCTCCCCGAGGGCTGGCCCTGCACCCGCCAGGGACCCTGGTAGAGGTCAGAGGTCACGATTGGGTGTCATAACCAGGTCACGAGCAGCTCCCTAAACTCAGTCCAGCCATGGGGTGCCGGGAAGGGAGATGCCAAAACCCAGACATGGGCTACTTAGTGGGCTCCTGGATCATTCTCTGCAGCTGTACCAGGAGCAGAGCTGAGTCAGGGCCCTGAGAGCTGCCTTCCTCCTCCTCCTCTTTATGTCTTCAAAGGGAAGTGGAGAGCCTAGGAGAAACATGGACATCTCAGGGGATCCCAGGAGCTGTGCAGGAGGAACCCAAGGGCATGGGGACCCTGGTGGGGGTGGGGAGATGGAGCGGCCGAGGCAGCAGCAGCCCCTTTGGTGGGAAAAGCAGCCATGATCATGGCGTGGTCCTGCATCAAGCAAGGACTCCCCGCTCCCTACTGGAGGGGGCAGCTCTGAACCCCGCAGCTTCTGCAAGATCGCCCCCTCTTTGCCTGTTGTCTTCGTCCCCCAAGTGCCTCCTGACCCTGCGCTGACCCTCCACGGGATGTCCCTGGGGCGTGTGGGGAAGTGGACGGTCCCAGCTCAGTGCCCCTGAATGGGGGTGGGCGGAGGGTCACACACCTCCTCCTGCCCTGCTGCCTGCACAGACACCCCACCCCCGGCCACCAGCCGTGTCATCCACTTCACAGACCACACCCACTTGCCCCAGGGTCCCTTCCTCACTGGCCACCTGGTGCCCTCTGTGGCTTCAGACTCCTCCTTCCAGGTGGGAGGAGGCGGGGCCTCCCCTCCAGGCGCTGGTCTTCAGGCTGGCTGATGCCGGGTCCCTTAGCTTAAGGCCCCAGCCCTTGGTGCACCATCCTCCCATCCTCCCATCAACCAGCCCCTTTTTTCGGCAACTCACGCCTGTCCTCAACACTGCCCTGGCCTGGCGCGTGGCTCCAGCCGCATCTGGGACCCGTGCACATCTGGGAGCAGCAAGTGATCAAGGGGACGGGATAATGAGCCCTAGCAGGGTCAGGCGGCAGCCACGGAGTGCACACCGCGGCCATCTCCCACCGGCCAGCGTCTACGTCTTCATTGGCGTTATGGGCGGGTGCAGCCAGAGCGGCCGCCGCGAACCTGTGCTCCCCTCTGGTGCCGCCACCCCGGGAGGGCACCAGAGGGCGCTCGCGGCCTGCAGAAAACACCTGCGATGGGCGAGCGTGCAGAGGTGGGGACCGCGGAGAGAGCCGGGGTGGGGGACTGGCCCAGGCGGGCGCAGACGGCAACGCGAGGGGCGGGCGGGTCGCCTCCTAGCGCGCCCCCTTCCCGCGGCCGTCCCCGGAGTTCTGACAGCCCGTCACGCGGGCAGATAAAGGACCTCTTCCGCAGGCTGGAGAGGGAGGTCAGCCCAGGTGCGCCCTCCCTCCGCCCCTGGTGTTTGCTCGGTAAACACTTATTGGGCCCCTGCTGTGTGCACCGTAGCTGGGCGGGGGCGGAGTCTGGCCTGGCCTAGCCGACTGGCCGGGAGTCGAATTGCAGCCGGCCTTGGGGGGCGAGGGGGCGCGCAGGGGGTGCCCTCCTCCAGCCTGGGGAGGCAGGCGGCAGGCCTGGACCTTGGAGCTGTGCTGACACCTCTGGGGCCCCGCGGAGGAGGCCCTGGGAAGGCTTGCGGGGATGGGGGTGGGGGATGGGGGGGCGCTCTGCCCTGGCTGCGTGGGGGGAGGGGCTGCACCCGCTGCCCAGACAGAGCAACAACATTGGCGTGGGTGGCGGGGCCCCGAGGGGCCCATAGCTCACCGGACCGTCTGCGCCCACCCCCGGCGCGCGCTTCCGATGCAAGACAGGCAGCGGGTTATAAATCACCAGCCCCCCACCCAGCCACCCACCCACCCAGCCAGCCAGTCAGCCAGCCAGCCAGGCGCAGGGGCGACAGGGACGAGAGACAGACCCAGAGACAGGGATGAGGACAAGGGAGGCAGGCGAGCGGGTCTTGCGGGGAGGGGGCGTCTCCCCAGGCGCCCGGTCCGCAAGCCCATCTGGAAACCAGCTGAGAGCTGCCCACCCCCACCCGGGCTGACCCCCAACAGAGAGGCGGAGGAGGCAGGCCTTGGCAGTGTCACTCCCCCTGGGACGACATAAATTAGGGGGGGGCTCTCCAAGCAGTGCCCCCAGGACTGAGGCAGGGTCTTCATGGTCACTGATTCTGGTGATGTGGCCTGGCCTTGGCTCTGTCCTTGTTTCTGAAATGGCCCTTGGGGGACCCCCTGGTAACCCCCACCTCTCTTTCTCACCGTCGGGGTGGAGAGCTGTTCACAGCCTCCTCACCCTTCTCTCTCCCCAGGATAGGTCACATCGGCGGAGAGTGATTTTATGGATGTCCCCCCCCCCCCGCCAAGGTGGGGGGTGGGGGCTGGTGCTGCACCGCGGGGGGTAAATGTCACCCGTCCCTCCTGTTACCCTCAACACCTACAGGGCACTTAGGGCCAGCTAGACAAAGTGTGCTGAGAGATGGTTCAGGTGGGCCCCGCAGGTGTGCGCGCACACACACACACACACACACAGAGGCAGTTTGTTTCAGAAGCTGGAGAGAGCCCATGCGTGGGAGTATCCCTAGGACGGAGGGGCAGCTCAGACGCCCAGTTCCAGCCCAGTACCTCTCCAGCGGAGAGACACGTGGGGAGGAGAGGCCACTTGTGTACAAGGACACCCAAGTGTCCACCAGGAAATCGCCTGTGGCTTATCTCCGAGAGTGTGAGCATGGGGGGAGGGGGAGTTCCTTCCAGAAAGATCTGGTATGCTGTGCCCCCCCCGGGGGGGGGAGGAGAGGCACTGAGTGTGTGTCCCATGGGCGGCTTGAACCTCAGAGCCCGCTGGGCACTAGGGACCGTGTGCAGGAATGGGTCGGGACAGGTGTG